ATATTATTTGAAGTGTTGGTAACATATTTAATTATTTTAATTTCACAATATATGCTATGTAAATATTCACTTTTATATCACTTTGGCATACTTTTTTTGCATTCACTTAATTTTTCACTGTCAATCAAATAAATTTTTCTTTTAAAAAGTTTTTATCGGGAAAAATCCATAAAATAATTTCCACTCAGTAATTATATATGTACGTATGTACATAGTTGCCCTTCATATGCGCAGTTCACTAAGTTGATAGGGTGAGTTATGCATAAAATATTTACTTAGAAAGTTCATAAAAAGCGCATATCAGCCGCTATTGCTCTCCACGCTTGTATATTTATCACTTTTCCCTTCAGCTATTCACTGCACATTTTCCACAATCACTTTGAACTTTGGGGCGCTCACTATTTTTAACTTGTTTTTCGCGTTGCACTTTTTTCCTTTCGGACCGTTGTTTGCCGGTTATACTTTATTGTGCGCTTATTATTCGCATTGCCTTGCAGTCAACTTGTTTTTCATTAGTCGTGATTTTACTTTTTATATTTGCTGCTTGTAAATTTTAATGCAAGTTAAAGTGAATGTGTGTGTGACAAGTAACGCATGCGCAGAAATATTCTTTTTATGAGGATTAATTTTAAAAGCCTGTGTTGCACATTTCCTGCGAAAGCCAAAAAGGCAACTAAATAGCCTCTGCATTTAATTGGAGTAACTTGTTTAAATTTACAACAAAGTGCCAAGGATTTATTTAATTTTTATTACTTTTAAATAATATATATTAAATAAAATTTATTCATATATTTTATAATTATTTAAGTGAAAGAAATAACTTTCTTTTATAATCAAAACAACTTTTTTCTTTCTCTTTTTATTGCACATTCTTTCAATTGAAGCGCTATTGCTTGACCTAAAAAGAGCATATTGACATTCATTCTCCCATCTTTGAAGTGCTTCACTCCATGTAATAGTTTTATAACAAAAAACAAACTTCTATGTACTAAATAAAAATGAGGAAAGAAAAATAAGGAAATCTTAAATGAAAAAATATTACAAGGGCAAAAACTTGTAATTAACTGCACTGGCTAAAATAGATAAGAAAGACGAGCGTAGAAAGCAAATAAATAAGTACTACAAATGTATATGTATTAAAATTATGGAAAGCAAGTGTACTTTTGAAAATAACTTTGTTGGTGTGTAATATATTAGTAAAACAGGCCACTTAAGCTTGTTTCTGAGCTCAAAAGGAACTATGAGCGTCAAATTTAAAAAGCCAGACTGTTATTCACCATGTTTGTTAAAATTGGAAGAATATTTTTGTTTTATACACATGCAATATGTTGCTACAGAGTATAATAGTGTTGTTCATCTAACGGTTTTGTGTATCATCTAAAAATAATCGAAATATATATCTAGTTATATGTATATAAATGATGACGAAACGTGTTTAAATACGAGTCTGTCTGTTCGTCCATCTGCCGAACGAGCCTCGCCCCCTAATTTGTTTAATGTACATATCTTCCAAACCACCAAGGCTAAATCAACGAAACTTGCTCAGCATAAATCCTTTAAGCCTCTTTTTCGACAGGGTTATAGGTTGAAATCGAATTATAACCCCCATAACGTCCACTTCCCATATACCGGTTATAATAAAAACTACTAAAAGTAAAACTACATCAATAAATAAAGCATCAGAGACACTAAATTTTGCATCCGAAATGATACAAACAAGCTCCATCTCAAAATTGGACAATGGGCATGCCATTGCTTATATTTAGGTCCCTTTGTTGATCTTCATTTAATTCAGAGACGCAGAGATCTTTCTTTTAACCAAATCTGCAGTTAAAATTCTCCACACATTGTTTTTGCTCGTTATAAATCCCTCAGCCAACATTCTCGTAGTAAAGTTTACATTGATATCAACAATTTCATGGACCTTTTCCAGCAATTCAGCACTACAAGTATTACTAGCTTCGACACGACATAGCCTTTGGTCGTCAATAAAATCTGCACGATCATTTTTAAATCGTCGAAAACACGTATATATAAACTTTAAGACGACTCATACAATCAATGCCATAACAATTTTTCATCATTTCGTATATGTCAGCGAACTTTTTGTTTTTTTTTTTTAAGATTAACACAAAAATTTATATTTGCTCTTTGTAAAAATGGACCAATTGGTGTTTGTTTTTCGGTTTCCTAAACACAAACAATCATTATTGCTCTGCTCCAATATGTATGAACCTTTAATTTTGCTGCCCTGAACCGTCAAGCGCTGGAGAGTAACGAAGTGAACATATTATATTATACTAGCTATTTAAATGGACCGCCAACAATGAAAGAGAACTGTGGAAAACTATATACACTATTATGTTAAATTGAATAAAATGCTGAGTTAGAGTCGTCCATAATAATAAATTTGTGCTGAAATCTGTCTCTTGCGTAGAACTGAACTCGCTAACTTTAATGTTGCTTTCACCTGAAAAATTTTTTAACCAGAGAGCATCCATTATTAATAATACCCTTCCCTTATAGTGCAAACCCAAAATATGGGTTTCTCGATCTACTGGTAGATAACCTCGATGACAGTTAGCCTAGATTTCCGCCAATCAAAGGTTTCTATACACGCTGTAATAATAAGAGAACGTTGTTATTAATGCTACATTTTGAATTTTGCTTCAGAAGGTAGTTTAAATTTTCTGCTCTTACCTTCAATCTAATTACTTTCCTTTATATCAAGCCATGCTTGAGCTGAATCAAAATGTATTGTAGAAGAACTACTCTCTGCGCTCGAATAATTTTCTAATTTCTTTCGTTTAAACTTTTTTAACTTCCCGCTAAGAAAATGGAAAATTTTCTAAAAATCGGGAAGATATTGGTTTCACCCCATTTTGCAAAAATCGAGTTCTCAACAGATCTCGACGTTCTGAGATGATGATGTCCGTATGTCTGTATGTATGTGTGGATGTATGTGTGTGTGTGTGGATGCATGTGACCCTCTTATAACTATTAAACTGCTCAACCGATTTGAATAAACTAAACGGCATTCCAAAGGGTTTCATTGCACTTGAATTTCGTGTAAGTTTGGACCCAATCGGACCAGTAGATTTCGAGAAATCTCAAAAATAAAAATTTTGAAAAATCGTTTTTTTCGAATTTTTTCCAAACGACTTGACCGATCGACACCAAAAACTAATCACCTTGAAGAAACACATCGTTTGCCGCAAACCGGGTCGAAATCGGTTGATTTACTTGCTAGATATCGAAAACGAAAAATTTCGAAGAGCTCAAAAGCAGTGAAAAAAGCGAAATTTGAACGTTAGCGTATGAAATTAGAGGGAAGTTGCAGGGATGGCCCTTGAGGCCAACCGTTTTCCACATTTTTTATTCACTTACGCATACTCCAGAAGTCTTGGTTTACAAGCCTAGATACAATGATTGATTTTTTAGAGAGTTTATTCAAGAGCTATAGTATTTACTTAGTATTATTGATATGGTATTTTCAGTTTTAAAAAGTACTCAACAATTATGTTTAACGTTCTAAAAATAGCAAAGAAGAAGTCTAAAATCAACCTACAGAATTTGATTTACTTACATAACCAGCGATTAATTTTGAAAAATTTTTGATTACATTAATTTTATCTCCAGGAGAACCGAAAAAGGTGTCTATCGGTAAGCAACAGTTTTCTGTTAAAATTATCTCAAATTCATGAACCGAAAAAAATAGTATAACTAAAGTTGAAGGATTAAGAAAAATTGTGATTTTTGACAAGATGACGGCTTCCAAGAAATTTAAACCAAGTCAATCGGTCCAGCCAAATATAAGACATTTTTTTGAGCCAACTTACAGTGACTTAAAATCTTCCTACACTTACGCTGACTTCTCCGAAACTAATTGCTGGATCAACACAAATAGTTTCAATTTAATATCCAAAAAAATATCACATTTATACATTCGATATATATGTAATTTTTCGGAATTTGCAAGCGGTTATATACCCTTAAAATTCTTAAATTCCTAAGAAACTATAACTTTTTGTAAGAAATTATGGTTTGCTTTACATTAAAGTATTTTCAAAGGATATCACAAAAAATGCCCAATCAAAGACTAAAACAAATACCCAGATCTAACAACACATAGAGTGCCCCAAGGTTTTAACTTAAGACTCAAGGATACTTTACATTTGCCGTTAGGCGTCTTTATCGCACTTCATAAATGCATACATATATACATATATATACGCTATGTATATTAAACGTAAAGTGCGAAACCTAACAACGGTAAAAGTCTAATATATAATATATATAATTATACAATAGAATCAGTGAAGCGTAAATATTGTGGGATGAAGCCTGAAGAATACACATGACAATTGTTGATTTTCTTTCTTACACCCTTAAGGACAAAGAAATCGAAATGAAGATAAAATGAGTAAAAGTTAGAAAACAGGCGAAAATAGTAAAAAAAAAGTATACGAAGTATAAGCGAAGAAGCAAATAAAGCGAACTACCCAAATGACAACTGAAAAGACACACTTTTTATGTGTCTCCATGTATTGCTATACATGCATATGTGTCGGTATATATTCATTTACGAAAGCACCAGCATTTGACAGCAAGTTGGCATGCCACATTAAGACTTGCCACAACACCGTCACACAAAGTACATCACTTACACACACAAAGCCACGCAAAGACTATTGACATTGTAAGCCTTTGAGACGCACTGACGCGACAAACACTCGGCCAATATACCACAAGGGCACCCACATTCGTAAAAAACTTGTGAACAAGAAAGAAAACTAAAAAGACTTTAGTTGAACAAGTTAAAAATTAAACGCGTTTGTGCTTTTAGGAGAATCCTTTAAGCGACCTAAAGGCAAACACTCTCAGGCTGCAGCCACACACGCAAGAAAAAAAACCAAAGTTTTTAATTTAACTTTATCCTTGAATGCAGTTTAACTCTTTATTACATAGTTGTCTCTCTTTCTTGTTTTTGTTTTTTGCAGATTCGGAGTTGGAGGAATTTGAGACACCCGCACGCTATCGTCCCGATTCCTTAAGTGCCCTCAGTCGTACTACGCGCTTCACGGAGGATGAAATCAAACGAATTTATCGCGGTTTTAAGGCTGAGTGTCCGACTGGTGTCGTCAAAGAGGACACATTCAAACTTATCTACTCGCAGTTTTTCCCACAGGGAGGTTCGTGTGGTACAGTATACATTGCTCGATAACACCTTGCTTTTAAATAGAGCCTCTGCTTGCTCTTTTTATTTGTACATGTCTTTTTATGATATTCCTTTTCACCAGTTAATTTGTAAATACAACCTGCTCCGTATTATCAGTGTGAAAACTAACCACTGAAAAAAAATAATAAAAATTTTTTTAATACTATACTTTAAACATGTTGGATAAGAGTATATTAGATATGTGAAAGGTCAGAGAGATATCAGAATGGTAAGAAGAATTAATTTTGCGGGTTCTGTCTGCTCGTCCGACCGTTTGCACATTTCATATCTCGTGCAAAAATTAAATATCTTGGAGAAGGAACCTTTAAGTTGGCACGGCTGCTTTCTTGAATAAGCGGACATTTTATTTCGCTATTAGTGCGAAAAATAAAAAATAACGGCTGCACCGTAGCTATAATACCCTTCGCAAGTGCATTTTTATCGCATAAAAGGTTATACAAAGATATTTATCTGGATTTTGATCGGTTAGTTTGAATGGCAGCACTACAACATATAAGTGGTCCGATCAGAACAATTACTTCGAAGATTGCAGCAATGCCTTTAACAAACATCCTTGCTAAATTTCGAGAGGATATCTCATCAAATGAAAAAGTTTTCCATGCAAGCACTTGATTCCGATCGTTCAGTTTGTATAGCAACTATATTCTATTGTGTGGCAATTTGACCTGAATAATCGGAAATTATACTGTTGCTTTAATAATAATCTGTGCCAAATTTCTTGAAGAAGGACCTGAGCTTGATTGTTTAGTTTATATAGCAGCTGTATGTTATAGTCGTTCGATATCGGCAGTTCCAACAAATGAGCAGCTTCTTGCTGAGAAAAGGGCGTATGCGAAATTTCAGATCAACATATAAAAAACTGATTTACTGGTTTGTGTATATACAGACGGACATGACTAAATCGACTCAGCTCGTCACACTGAACATTTATACTTGTATGTACACTTAATATGGTAGTAGTAATATGGCAAACTTAATACACCCTGTTTAGAATATATTTACACGCGAACCTTTAATTCGGTGGTAAAAATTAAACAGCAATCTACCATATAAGACGGAATAAAATTTAACGTTGGCGAAGTCTCATTTTTTCAAACTATTTGCCCACTTTTGCATTAGACAACTCTAGTAACAAAAACTTCTTCTTACTAAAACATGGCACATCTAGTACCCGCAAAATAACCATCTTCCTAATATAGGCGCAATCGGTTCATATCATGTTATAGGCCGCGTACAATAAATATATAGACGATAGCGGATAATCGGTATATATATGCTTCTTTAAACCCCATATACTAATTCTATCAAGTTTTTAAAAACATTTCTCCTGTCATAATGTATGTATGTATATCGCAATGAATTGATATAATCTGTCTGATATCGTAATGAAACTTAGAAGACATCTTTTCCTGTTAATTGTGCGCCCTGGTGGTAAAAATAATATATCTATTAGAATTATATTGAAATTCCGCTTTGACTTTATACCATATATTATATATACCCTAGTTGCAGGCTGTAATTTATTTAAAAATTATCGCATAAAACTAAAGCCAATGAAATTTCCATTTATCTGACTTAGAAATACAGCGGGATACCATAAATTAAATCCCTAACTGGCCAAATCAAATAATTTCATATCTTCAGAGCAGAGTCAACAGCAATGTTAATAGTAACAGCGAGTGCAACTATGAAACTGCAGTGATAACAGAACACTTAACTAATGCATATGTATACATTCAGTTAAATCATTAGCAAGAAGAAACTAGCGCATTTGGGTTTGTGTTAACTTAATAAAATATGTGGCGATTATGTGGTTGAATAAAATCTTGTACTAGTACAATGCAGTGCGGACTTGCATATCTATAAATTTATTTCAAAAGTTGAAATTGTATAAAGTTTTATTAAAACGATTAGCGAGTTTTATGCAATAACAAAATATCCAGATAGAGCTGAAATTTTAAACTTTCACAAACTACCAAATTTCAAAAATATACATTATCAAAAATTAATGAAGTCATTCAGACATTCCGTTAAATTTTTTGTAATGACTATAAATATTTACATCCCTCGAAATAAGTTAATACTCGTATCCTTTATTGATAGGGATATCTTAACGAAGTTAAATTTTTGTATGTATAATTACCAACACGCACCTCTAGTCCACATAAATCAGATAATGAGGGCTCCGATTAACTTTGAAGAACGATTTGTATCACATTTATCTACCATAGGGCTAAATTTGTATCTAACAAACAGTTCTTTTATTAAAAGCCTGTATAGGCGTCATAGTATGATAGATGCGTCAATAAAAATGTATTTAGATAATAGTTATTGCCATTCCTATTTTACATTGAATGATTGTTTTGCTTGCGCACAGACACTATGTTTATTTAGGCTATTTGCGGATATCGTAAATGTTTGGAAAAATTTAAAAAGAGACATCAATATACAATTCTCACTGAAACCTGTTTTTGGAATATTGTACTTTATGAAATTATACATAAATATTAGGGTGTCCGTTATTTTACGAGTTGATTGTTTTTTTGTAAACGAGTCCTAAAGTTTCACTTTTTGACCACAAATAAGGATCCAATATACATCTCTATTAAACCGTGACTAAATCATATCTATTTTCCCATGTATATAACATGGTATTTTTTATTATTTTGCTTTAAGCAAGAAAATCTACAACTTTAAAATTATATTCTAATATGAAGTGTTCTCTCTCTACCAAAAATATGTTTTTCCATTATAATATTCCTTTAAAAGCTATATGCAGTTAAAGTCATATATCAAATGTACTGAGCTTTCATACAAGTAATTTATACGATGTATGTTGCTCATACGACAGGGTGTACTGTATGAATGCAATATGTTTGATGCAAAACTTTAACTGCGCATAATATTCAAATCAATGTTTTTATGAAAAAAATCAACAGAACTTTATTTATAGCACGAAACATTTTGTATTAGGGTATAATTTTCCCAAAATTCTAGATTCATTTTCTATTTGAATAAAAAAATGATTCAAAAGATCAAAAAGTCTTATATAAAATGTATGGAAAAAGTATAATTATTTAAACACGGTCTAAATTTAAAATAAAAAAAAGTCTTAACTTCGTTTTCACCGAAGATATAATAACATTCAGAAATACAAAATAATACTTTATAAGAACTTTGATCGGACAGTGCATACTGCAGCTATACGCTATAGTGGCTCGATACGAAAAATTTCTTCAGAGATTACACCGTTATCTTAGGCAACAATCCATGCCAAATTTGAAGATGATATCTCGTCAAATGAAAAACTTTTCCTTAGTTGATTCGTTTCGTTTAGTTTGTATGGCAGCTATGTGATATAGCGATCCGATCTGAACCATTTCTTTGGAGATTGGGTCATGGCCTTAGGCAACATACCATGCTTTGATGAAGGTATCTCATCAAATGAAAAAGTTTTTCATACTAGCAATTTATACCAATCGTCCAGTTTGTATGACCAGTGAGCAGCTGCTTGGAGAGAAAAGAACGTATGCAAAGTTTCAGATCGATATCTCAAAAACTGAGTGACAGACGGACAGACAAACAGACATGGCTAAATCATCACGCTTCTTATTAGTAGTAGTATATATACACCGGGTCGCCGACATTTCTTTTTGAGTGTTACAAACATCGTAGGAAACTTAATATACCCTGTTCAAGGTGTAATAAAGAACTTACTTACGTTGAACTTTTTATTTGGGGAAAAAATTGAAACTTCAAAGGACGTTTGCAGAAAAGCTTAGGAACTAAAAGACACCCTTATAAACGTGCATATTTTTATTTTGTTGGAAGTATAGATATTAACAACTAGTTGTTTCGAATCCGACAGGTATCTGGTTTCCGTTATTTATATGGAGTAGGCAGATATACGAGTATTTACAGCGAGTCCATACTATAAGCAAAACGTAAAAATACGGATGCCTTGAACAGCCGTGTAGGCAAATTGACTAAAATCTTGGCTTACTGGCTTTCTATTAGATCAATATTAATGCATACATAAATTACGAAGCTGCAGCAATTCTCGCCAGCAAAGACACACAAATGTAACATAGATTGCATGTAATCCAATCGTATATCACCGCATCTAACGGTATACTCTAGTACTCTAGATATGTACAAGTGTGTGTAATTAATTTAAAAATATATGCATATGTGTACTTAAGCAGTTTTCCTCTCATTGGTATGGTTACTAAATTACAAGCCTGTGCGCCCAAATATAGGCTACGCAATAAATCCTACTTAAAATAAGTGATGATGTGTATTTTCCACGTTTGAATTTTTACCATACCGTTAGTATTTGACTTACAGATGCCTGGCTTTGCTTTAATGGGCACTTTTATACAGAATTTCATTTTCATTTCATTGCCTACAGCTGGCAACACGCCCTCGAAATGCTGCGCGTTGACGAGAACCATTGCCAAGTGCAAGTAAATAAGCACGTTGAGGTCAAAGCTTATTTGTAGACTGGTACACAAACAGGCACATCGGCTAAGCATACGCATATATGTGATTACTCACGTTTGTGTTCTTTTGTTGGTTTAGGTTAAAATAACTCGAACATGCTGAACAAGAAAATAATGTTATCAAACAAGCAAACAACAAGCGCAATGCGGTTAGTGAGCCAACGTGTATTGGTGTGTGTGAGTAAGTATGAATGGATGTACGAACACGTATTTAATAAGTTGGCAGCTAGCGAAATATGTTGCCTACTTAAGAAGCTTAACGCATGTACATACACATATTTGCGAGCGAATGTATGACAGCATGTTCAGTGGGTGCCGAAAAAAGGTCGTCTCGCATCGGCAACCGAAATCTGACACTTTTATTAAAAACAATTTTAAAGACATGTATATATTTATAAGGGTGTCCGATATTTCAATTTAATTGTTTTTTTTTTTTTTTTGTTATTTTAAA